GCATCCATCATACTCAGTAACTCGCAACTAGCTGTAGAGTCGACGAGCTGATCAATTCATGGTAAGGGATAATGATCTTTTGGGCAGGCCAAGTTTAAGTCACGGAAGTCGATGCACATGCGCCATTTGTTTAATGTCTTTCTCACCATCACGATGTTGGATATCCACTCGGGAAATTGGATCTCTTTGACGTGTCTTGCTCGCAGCAACTTATCCACCTCGATTTCAATTGCTTTGTCGATTTCTTCACCATGGCGTCTAAGTCGTTGCTTTACTGGCTTTCTGAGGGGGTCCAAGTTGAGTTTATGCTCCATAATATTGGGGTCGATCCCCGTCAACCCCTCAGGGGTGAAGGCTAAGACATCCCTGAACTCCTTTAGTAGTGTGATGAGTTGGTTTCGCAGTTTGTCTTTCAGATCATTGTCGACCTTAGTGGTATGTTCCTTCGTTTCTCCAATTTATATCTCCATTAGCTCCCCGTGTGGTTTGAGATCACTATTTCTTGGCCTTTTCTCGCTCATCACCGGCTTCTTTCCCTCAACTTTTGTTCGTTGGTTTGTTTTCACAGCTATCTGGTAACAAGTTCTTGATAGCTTCTGGTCCCCTCGGGCCTCTCCTACTCTATCTCCAATGGGAAACTTTAACTTCATATGGTAGGTCGACACTACTGCTTGGAATGCGTTGAGCGCCGGCCTTCCCAGAATCACATTATAAGCCGAATCGACGTCGACTACAACAAATCACACCATCTTTACTTTCCTCAAGTCCCCCTCCCCAAGGACGACGGCGAGCGCGGTTTCTCCTAGGGGTGCGACTTCGGAGCCATTAAGCCCAAAAAGTGAGGTGTGTAGGGGCGTGAGCTCGATGTCGAGTTTCATCCATTTGAGGCAATTGTAAAAGATCACATTCACTGAAATTCCCGTGTCGACAAAGATCCTCTGCACTTCATAACGTGATATTTGGGCAGTGATCATTAGAGCATCATCATGGGGCCTTTCGACCTCTCCCACGTCTGCTGGCCCGAAATTCATCACCGGACCATTTTCCTCAACTTGCTGCACTTCAATTTTCCCGTGGCGGCTTCGAGCGTATGCCTTTCTTGCTCGATTTGAATCTCCATCAGTCGGCCCTCCGAATATCATATGAATTATTCCTCCTTTCTGAGGGAGTTCCTCCTTGTGGGGTGTCCTTGCTCTCTTACGAGGGCTCTTGCTACTCTCCCTCCGCCGACTGGTTCGCTCTCGATCCTTATAAATGAACTCTTTCAGATAGCCTGCTTTGATTAGTCTCTCGATCTCATTTTTTAGGTGCCGACATTCGTCAGTATTATGCCCGTAATCCTTGTGGAATCGACAATACAGATCACTTTTGGGTTTTTTCGGTCCATCCTTTCTCGTCCGTGGGCACCTGACAACACTTTCGCGGATCTCTTACTCCATTACCTCCAATATCCTTGCATTCGAAGCCAACAGGGGGGTATATTGAGTTTTCCTCCATCCCCTTGATCGTCCCTCCCTCTCGGACTTCGGGGATCCTTTCCTTTCAACCATCGTGATTGGTTTTTTATCCTTCTTCTCCTCCCGAAACTCAATTTTGCTTTAGCTGCTTGCAAAAAATCGGC